CTGACTTCGGGCTTCACAGAGAGGAGGAACATCAAAGTGATATAAAGTGGAGAGGGGGAACAGAAGAGTGATTCAAGGACGTTAAAGAGACAGACAGACGCAAAGGCAGAGAAATGGTAAGATTAGTACGGTGGAAGTGGTTGAATGTGACATACAGTGGGGTCATGGAAATTTGAAGTCAGAAGTCAACTGCCGGTTTATAGACTTTTTTGCCGTATGAGAATACGTGCGATAGACTTACATCCACGTGATGCACCCCGGTCTTCAAAAATTCAAACTCAAGAATCTGAATTTTTGGCGCCTTTGGCTTGAAGTATAATAGTCAATAAGTGCGTATTTAGAGCTATTTTAATTAATTTGGGGAACAGACAATGACACTTCAGGTATTCGAATTTTTCTTTAAATAACAAAGTGCACTAAGTTGAAAAAGATTTGATGAAGCAATATAATCGAGATACGAGTATGGACTCAAAATTAGCTTCAAAGAGGGGGTAATTCACTAATACAAGCATTGATTTGTAATTCTCACTAAAAAATTCTCTCTTATCTTAATTGAGGAAAACAGTTGAACTTGGTTGGCAAAAGGCCAAAAAGTGATTAATTAAGGTGACTTAAAGTTCCTGAGTATGGCGTCAATGTATCAGTGAGTTCTACCTCACTTGATCTATGGATTTCGATCATAAGGTAATCACTAAAAGATATTTACATTCTAAGAATCAACTCATTCCGCAAATTGTGGTGAACACCTATTAACTTCGCCATCGAGTATTCTGCATTTTAATCCAAATTTGTGCTCTTCCATACCTCCCCTCCCGCGCGACCCCGCCACCCCCACTCCCCCTCACCTTCTTCCCGCTCTTTGAGAAGACCAAATAAGATTACACGGCAGGTAACTTCTTTCAGTTCTAATATATTAAAGATGTAGTTGGCAACGACTTTTAGGTCCAGTTGAATTCAGAACAACAATAATGTTGATTGCAACGATTTTTTTTCTAATTTAATAGTTTTAGAACGGTATAAAAAAAATGATGGCTATATGACTCCTTAGCCACTCAGTTGTTAAAATTGTAATCCATTTTACACTTTCATTTAATTAAACAAGTCGGATTTTTTACGAAAAAAAGACGTGCTCAATCTACTCATTTTTTTGCAAATTGTTTATCATATTTACCGACAGCGCTGAGGAAACAAAAAACCCCTATTCAATTGCATTTCACAATACATTCGCATTAAAAGAAGAGGAGGACGCAGACGAGGGACATTATTTAAACAGAAAAAAGTGGTGAGTTCGAAAATAAATACAACACATTGTTTAAATCGTATGTGAGAGCAGTAGTAGCAGCAGCAGCGGCGTTAATGCCGACAGCGGCGTTTTGAAAAGGCAAACGAAAGCGGTATTCTCATTCCCACGGGAGAATGAGGGCGAGAAAGTAGTGTTCTCGGCATTGTTGTGTTTGTGTGTGTGTGTGTGTGTGTGTGTGTTGATTAATCATAAACTTTCTTCTTTCAACAACGCACACGAGTGATTAATGTTATCAGTACTTTTTTTTCATTATCTTCTCTGCGTTTTCCTGCTGCTATTATTTCCTTGGAAGAATAATTTATTTATTTCAAACGGCAGGCGTTATGATGGGTATCATTAGCTCTTTAGTTGACTTCGGGCTTCACAGAAAGGAAGATGAACATCCAAGTGGTAAAAAGTCGAGAGGGGGACAGAATAATGATTCACAAACGTAAAAGAGACAGACAGACACAAAGGTAGAAAAAAGGCGAGGTGAATACTGTGGAATTATTCGAATATGAAATGCAAAGGGGTCATGGTAGTTTAAAGTCAGAAGTCAACTGTCGATTAATAGACTTTGCCGTATGAGTATACGTTGCCCGGGGTGCACCACGTGGAGGTAAGTCTATCGCACACCCCTTTAATTACCATTATAGATTTCATGTCTTAATGTATTAAAGCTATTTTTGATCAGAGATCGATATTAAATAATAAATTTTCTTATTTTCAAGAGCTATTTGAATGAGATGGAATTCAGGACAAAAGGGTAACTCTAGTCACGGACATTACACCAGTCTACTTTACCATTTGGTTTTAAAGAATAAAAAGACATGTAAAGGTATGCCTGGCTGATCGACTGAGAATTAACCTAAGATGAATGATGCAATAGCCTGGTATAAGCGATACTCTGATCTAACTCACCTGAATTGGTCAACTAATCCACATCGATTTTCGGCTTTGATCTCATTGACAGTTTGTCCTCCACCAACACCCATCACAACCTCACTTGTTGAATCTTTAGCCAAGAGAGCGGATTCAAATCCCGATGTCCCAACTCCTACTACCTTATTTACTTTCCCACTGAACCCGAAGAAGGTTAACGCAGTAGCACCATGCCTCTGGACGTTATATCGTTCAGCCATTTCCCCGTCATTCTTCTGTTAGAAAATTATATTACAGTTTCATATAATAATTTTAATTGACACTTTCATTTGTAAGTCACTTAAAGGCTTACTTTACCATTGCTATTATTTATTTATTTAATCAGTCACAAACAAGGAGGATTTTAATATTTTCTCACCGCACGTGCGCTCTCACGTTAAGAGCATGGTCGAGAATGATTAGTAATATCCTCAGAGAACAGACCGAAATCTTTATTGTCATTTTTATTAACACATTTCGTGACTTCTTGCAGAGCTTAAGTAAGCCACACGGACATAATATTGGACAGATTGGTATATAGATTTCGGGTTGGAGGGAGAGTTGAGATATTGGATAAATGTTAGCGGAAATTAAATTGGTCTCCCTTATTACGAGCGGTGTATTTTTTATGTAAATCCTAACAAAATCAGTCAGATAATTCTCATGCATTAAGTGGATTTGCCCACATATTAAACGGAATATGTCATTGAATTGATTAGTCATCGAATCGAAGATTTAACAAAGTGAAGCATTCGGAAGACGAAGCAAACGTCCGCCAGTGATATAGAGCGTGGATATTATTGTTCCATTAAGTTTAATGGAAATTTAGTTATCACTTGAATCACTAAGAGGTTTAAGGGAAGTGCTTTCAAACTCAAATGGCATTTTAATCATAGTTTTCTGATATCCTTAATAATTAAAATGAATGGTTTGCAGTATCAGATTAGGGTGTTTGGGGTGAGCATTAGAGGCTAGTGTTTAATTTTTTCCAGTTGCGTTCAAATCGTTAGAGTAAACAAAATTTCCCTTAAGTTCAAACCCCTTTTAATCAAAATTAGTGAGGACACCAGTATTGGGTGACCCAACTGAACCAGGAAAAAAAACATTTGAAGGATGGTGTTCCAGGTCAACCGTTAAAAATAAGAAAAGTATAGTTGCTGCGCAAGTTTTACCTCACCACCGTGAAAACAGTGCAGCGTAAAGTGGGGAATTAAAACGGGGACCACGAGACTGAGTTGGTTAGAAGAAATAGACAGTCTGATCGTTCTCAAAAGTCTGGTATGGAAAAATCTTGATGAATCATCTTGGCATCCGAACTCGGGTTTTCTTGGTAGAGATAAGAGAATGCTTCTGACTATGTCATGATGGCTGCGCTCAATGTGAACTAGAGCCCATGCAAATAAGCGTCGCGAGGTTCAACTTCACAAAGAAAGGGTTTTTCAAAAACCGTCATATGAAAAATTTGATGAAACTTACGAACAAAGTGAAACATTCTGCTGAAACAGCAGCAGTTCGATTCTTTTGCGATGAGACGAAATTTTGTTAAGATGGAAAGCACAACGCGAAGATTAGAAGATGACTTGACTTGCATAGTTATCAAATGACATTTCGTCCGTCATGCGGACTCAACTTATCCAAACCCTCCTGGTTTCGGATGCACATCCCATTCCTCCTTCGAGAGACGTGTAATCTACATCTATCGTAAGGCTATTTAAGATTGAATTCAAATAACTAAGTGAACATTCTGGTCAGTAAAGAAGCAGGGTTCTAGATTAAGAAAGAGGATTGCCGGTGGCAGGCAGCTTATATAAGAGCAACAGGATTTAGTTTACTGCTACACCTCAGGTCAGAGTCAAAAATGTCTGTCAGGCAACTCTTATGACTACGCGGATCCTTATATATATTTGGCCCCTGAACTCCATTCACCCTCCCCCCTCTCCCCCAAATCTCAAACAGTTGGACAATTTCGAATGTATTGGGCACTGTGGGGGAAACATTGGTTATTGTGCTAGTGCTACTAAATCATTATCAATGAACTGATTTCAAGCAGCTTTTGAGACCATTCTCAGGTAAAGTGTGGAAACTGTTTGGTCAGGAAACTGCAATTGGCACTAATTACGGCGCTCTTGTGTACATCATTGCCAAAATAAAGTGATTCTCTTGTTTATTGTAGTTCATTTAAATTTGTTACATTCAATACTTACCAGACACTCTTCCCTTTCCCTATGTGACTACCAAATTTACCCCTGACACCCTGTGTTCCCTTAGTTTCCTTATATTTAGTAGCATATTTACAGAAGATGCTATTTATTCCTTATTTGACATGAAGCCATCTATCTGAGCTTTTTCTCAATTAGGGTAATCTATAGGAATATTTTTCAGATAAGTCATTAACTGTATAATGTTTTGCCGTTCATTTGCCTAACCTGTAATATGATAGCAGTTAACCGGCTTTTTATTCCTAAAGATACTATTTTAACGTTTCTACTCACGACTATTTTGCTTATCAATTTCCTCGGTAAACATGTGTTTTTTCTTAAGGGTAATCTGCTTATTCCTTTAATATTGAGTTTGCTCAATCTTAGCATAATAAATCCAACTATTCACTTTGATTCAAACGAACAAGCATTTTCAACTTTAGACCTTTTTTGATCAAAGCCCATCAATCATAAATCATTGCAATTTTGGTCCAAATTTTCCCCTTCTTTTTATTGTTATGGATATAAGAGGCCAATGATAAGGCTGTTCATTGGTAAAAAGTGGCTAAATATCATTAATTACGAAAGGAGGGAAATCAATTGGCAAAGGGGAACGACAACTTAGACTAGGGGATTCGGTTCGATAACTTCATCGATTTTCTGCTAGAATAAAGAAATATGCTGGCTTCAAATGCAAAGAAAATAATGAGGATGCCGGATAAAACTTGAAACTGTTGAATTTTGGTCCGTGGAAGTCTCCGCTGATCAATGCTTTTTAGGAACTATGGTTATGGTGTTTTCCCTTCTGCGAATATCCACATATAATTGGTCACTTTACACTCCAACGTTTTCGCTCGAATTTCTTTCAGATTGTGGCCCACTGAGTTGGCGTCCTGTTGTAGTTACCTTCATTATGTCTTCGTAGAAATTTTCTTGATGCATTTTTGATCACTTAACATAAAGGAACATTTGAGCTTGGAAAAATGGTATGTATTTTCCCAGATGCCTAAAGACTGCACTTGACTGTTGGATTTTGCACAAGAATTCTTTGAAATGACTCATTACATGACATAAATCTGTAAGAAAACAAATTGTTTAGAGAAGTATTTAAATGGGTCTTAAATCAATTTTTATTAATCATTGAAAATATAATTTGCACTTAAGAGTATAAGGTAATGTTAACTTTAAAACAAATTGTGTATATAATTTTCCCCATATTATAAGTCTATTTGAACTTCAAAATTATTAACCGATTGCATTATTAAAAAATATTTTGACATCAGGGTCTCTTTTCCAGGGATCGGGAGCCTGAATGATAATTTTTTCCGCCATATTCTTACTATCTTCAAGAAATTTGAAGAGTTGAGTTTGGCGTGAAATCAGTTTTCAAGACGAGATTTGTGGGGGGGGGGCATTCGGATTGATTTAAGTGAAAGGTAATTTAAAGTCTCAGTTATCAACCCAGAATAAAATTTATTTATTTATACCAAATGGCAGGCGTTTTGATAGTTGTCATTAGCCCAGGAGCTGACTTTGGGGCTTCACAGAGAGGAGGAGGAACATTAAAGTGACAAAAAGTCGAGATGGCAGACAGAATAATGATTCACAGAGGCCAGCATAAAATAGTTTGATGTTAAAAGATGGGAATTATACCATTCAAATTTTTATTTCATAAAATGTCTAGCCAATATAAACCAATACAAACAACTTAGTATGGTAAAAATCAATTATTATTTGTCTAGGATTTTTTAGAACTCAGTGATTGATTGCTGATAAGGAAATGATAGATGTGTTCAAGAAGATAAATTATGGCGGGAATGCATGGAGTAACGGGAGTCTGGAATGTGATTCATCATTCCAATGCAAAATAATACTTGAATTTTCTAGTCAACATAAGCTTCGCTTTACAATACTGGGATGATTTAAAAATTATTGCGATGCAATTTTACCTACTAATAACAATTCATCCTTTTCCTCAATCTTTAAGCTGCAGCATCATCTTTTCTACTTCAGATTTTAACTGATAAGGTAGCACATTTCAAAGACACTATATTTTTTACTTGAATACACGCATTGTTATTGAGATCAAACTTGACAAATTAGAGTTTTCCGTAAAAATAAAGTATTTGTAATTCACCACTTTCCGAATGCTATTTTCAGTGTTGAACATTGAGTAAAGCAAATGTTTAGATGAACTGCCTGCAATAATAATCCATTGAAAAAAATTTATTCCAATTGCACTTTTCGAACTCGCTGTTATAGTGATAGCCATAAACCCCATTTTAAGCACAATTAATTGAAATGTTAGGTGATACTATTTACTATTGTGATAATTCACAATAATCGTTCTATTTTTCGATGCACATCTTCGAACTCCAAAGCGAGTCAGGTGTGTGCTTTATTGAATTAATCTCAGTACCGTCAACTATAATTTGAATCATTGCAAATTTTGCCAAAGGGATTATGGTAGTTCTAAATAGTCGTCTAGCCAAAATGACTCCAGCAAATAAGAAATTCTGACACATTGGAAATGTGACATTTAAATAGTAACAGCTCACTTTGTTTTCCTTTCAATGAAAATCATTAGTATCAATATTTCAAATAGTGGGGTGTGCAATAGACTTACCTCCACATGGTGCACCCTGGGCAACGCATACTCATATGGCAAAAAATTCTATTAACTGGCAGTTGACTTCTCACTTCAAACTACCATAACCCGACTCCATGTCATATTGCACCACTCCCATAGTACTCACCTTACCTTTTCTCTGTCCTTGTGTCTCTCTGTCCCTTTTACGTTCGTTAATCATTATTCTGTTCCCCCTCTTTACTTTTTGTCACTTTGATGTTCCTCCTCCTCTCTGTGAAGCCCGAAGTCAACTAAAATGCCAATGATAGCTATCAAAACGCCTGCCATTTGAAATAAATGTATATTTCAAATAGTGAAGACCTTAGCTACTCTTAAGTCGGGCACGAGAAATGAAATATATAAATGTCATACAAATAGGAGTTAATTTAAATGA